GTTTTCGAATCCATTCAGCCGATCTCCGGGTCTGGCGGTAGCACTTTTAGCTGTAGCTTAGCATAGATCATTGAATCTGATTAGACCGTTAGCATCTCGCTCAAAAATGACCAAAGAGTTTATATATTTTTCCTATTTAAAACCTGACTCTTTTGTAGTTACATCGTGTACTAAGACCGATGGGAAATGAAAAGTTGCGATTTTCTAGGCTGATATGGCTAGGACCTATACTCTCATTCCGGCGTATTAATCAAGGAACTTCGCTGCCGTACCATGGGTGCAGCAGGCGCAATGATATTACGCAGCGCCTGAAAATAGGCTAACTTCCGTCAACATAACCAACGTGACCACCTGCTTGCACAGGGAGCGTGCTGGGGACTATTTGGAGACTATAGGCTACCACGCCGACCAGCTTAACACAAGTGGCGTGTAATGTGAAATGTTCACAAGCGTCAACAAGAATATGCATTGCAATCCAATAGATAAGACCCCAGCACCCACTGGAGCAATTATCATAAATTATTCATAACAATATTCTCTAATTGTATAGAGCCATTAGGATCAATTAAAAATGCGTTTGCAGCTGAAATTGACCGCACACTCAGCACAGCTAATCAAACATTAACCTTAGATTTAAACAAACGTGACATTGAGATTACGCCGCTGAATATAGCGAACCCCGGTTGAAATGCATACATAAGAATGCTTATTTCATTTAACCTGTTTCATGTCTGTTACTATCAGTCTGTTCATATCTGTAACAGGAGTCCTATCCAGAATGTACAGATTGGTATTGGTGTGTGGTACGCTGCACATATTCTGTGAGAGGGCCTCTGTCTCTCTGGCATGTGGATCACAAGTTAATAAAGTTTTGTCATTTTCCATTGTCATGTACTCCTATGAGTATTTCTTATAAACCCATGTCTCCTTGCACTATATTAGTAGAAATCCATTTGCAAAATGCTCATTTTGTGCTAAAAGCTTTACTTAATAGGTACAACATAGTCAGTTTTGGAGCAGTGGATGAATACTCCAGGAAGGTAAGAGAAGTGTGGTGTTTTCTTCCATCACCATGTTCACAAGCGTCAACAAGAATATGCATTGCAATCCAATAGATAAGACCCCAGCACCCACTGGAGCAATTATCATAAATTATTCATAACAATATTCTCTAATTGTATAGAGCCATTAGGATCAATTAAAAATGCGTTTGCAGCTGAAATTGACCGCACACTCAGCACAGCTAATCAAACATTAACCTTAGATTTAAACAAACGTGACATTGAGATTACGCCGCTGAATATAGCGAACCCCGGTTGAAATGCATACATAAGAATGCTTATTTCATTTAACCTGTTTCATGTCTGTTACTATCAGTCTGTTCATATCTGTAACAGCACTAACCTAAACATTTCCAAAAAGTTTACAACACCACCTGTTAAAATGAATACATGTGAACCTCATTTAAATTAACACAATCCACATTGTTGAAACCGATTCAACATCCTTCTGCAGTGAGTTGAAGTTCCTTTTTATATAAATACTTTAAATATTTCCACAAAACAGTTCCTTTATGCATAAATACTGGCCACACAAACACAGATGAGGAACACAACACAGTCCACTTACAGGAGAGAAACTAGGGTTAGTTTGCGGACACTGAAGCTGTCCGATAGTGTAAATGAAAATATGCAAAGAAGATGAAAAAAAACATTATGTCTAAGAACATGTGGGTGTTGTAAGAGGTGAAGTCGGAAAAAGATCACAGATTTAACGCAACGAGAGTCCAGTCATCTGAACTCACAGGTACAGAGATTAATCAACAATATATTTCAGTATATAATTCAATGTATGTGTTACAGTTGTTGTTTTTTTACCACTTTACATTTATATTTCATAGATAAACGACTGTAACCATTTCAACTGCACCAAAAAATAAATGTCTGGAATTGTGAATGATAGTATGAATAAAGGTTCGATAATGGACTCGGAAGACCGAATAGAAAGGACTGTTGATATCTACATCAGTGCAGAGGCTGTAAGAGACATGAAACATAAGAAAGACACAGAGGACTTCAACACAACAAAAACCCAAACACCTCAACATACAGGTAACTGTGATTAAAGGAATAGTTCATCCAAAAATGAACATTTCCTGATTATTTACTCACCTCCAGGTCATCCACCCAGATATTACACGTACGTCTGCAAGATGTCTGTTAAATCTTGATCTGGAAAGCATCTGCTGTGTACAAACATCTGACAGACGTATGTCAGTTTGACATACATTTTAAATCAAAAACATCTTAAAGACATCTAATAAACGTCTATTTGACATCTGATAGGAAATGTCTTAAAATGTAGACGTCAAATAGATGATGTACGTGTGCTATCAGGGCAGTAAGTTCTGACATGTAGTCTTTGCATGCTCTACTTGTAAATATAATGAAAATGACTGATTATTTCACTAGAGAAGACCCTTATTTGTCAACTGTCATGTGGATTCTTTTAAAGCTGCCTATATATGGATTTTGGACCATTAGAAATGGTGTGCATTGAACCCCGTTCACTTGCATTAGATGGAGAAAAATCCTGGAATGTTTTCTTCCAAAAGCTTAATTTCTCTTCAGCTGAAGAAATAAAGTCATATACAGTGGATCTTGGATGGCCTAAATAATCAGAAAACCATTTTTAGTGAACTATTCCTCTGCATTTGCTCTTAAAACACAAGAACACAAACTACACTAATAAACATCTGACAAAGAGTAAAATTAGTCTACAGTTGGCATGTTTTCAGTTGATGTGAGCCGTATGAAATGAGGAAGTGAAGAGACTAACATCATATCTATCATCTTCAGGAAGTGATGGTGTGACGATCAGGAGCTCCAGAGCAGCTGTGGTGTGTTTGGTGCTGCTGTGTGTTCTTCTGCTGACCGCAGTCATAGTGCTGTGTGTCACTTTCACTCAAGAGAGACAACAGATATTAACTAAGATCACCAACCTCACAGAGGAAAGAGACCAGCTACTAACCAACAATATGAACCACACAAAAGAGAGAAACCAGCTACTAACCAACAACATGAACCTCACAAAAGAGAGAAACCAGCTACTAACCAACAACATGAACCTCACAAAAGAGAGAAACCAGCTACTAACCAACAACATGAACCTCACAAAAGAGAGAAACCAGCTACTAACCAACAACATGAACCTCACAAAAGAGAGAGACCTGTTGAAATCAGAAAAAAATGAACTTCAGACGCTTTTTGCTGGTAAGTTTCTTCAGTCTTACTAGTCACTTGCTTTAAAGCAGACTCAAATTTTAAAGTGGAATGAATTGGATCTGTTGTGTTGGGGTCATGTGGCTAATGCTCATATTGGACTTTAGTGTCATGTTTATAATGATTAATAATAATAATAATCAGTTTAGGGATGTCAACGGAGTCTAAATATTAATAGATAATTTAAGACATATTATTGTAGTGGATGAGTAAATGGTTAAATAGACATTGCAACAAGTGGCTTTATAAGTCAATATTCATATCATTGAGCATGAGCATTTCATTACAGCTTTTCTTGATTGCACAATTCATGAAACAATTCACCATTTTCTCACAACTATAAACAATCTCAAAACTACACACCAACTTATGCAAATCTCAAACTGCCAGGTCAAAATCAAATATTTTAGTCAAAAACATAGTATCTTTTGTCAGAATCAAACTTTGTATTTGTCAGGTTTGTGTGTCAAAGCCACAGACTACTTCACTGTCTAGAGAATAGTAGTGATGTTACGTACTGCTCTGAGACTTGACAGGTTGGAGGTCCAAATGCAGCTTTATTGGGAGAAACCAGAAACGTGATCCGAAATACAGGCAACAGGTCAAAACACAGGCAGGCAATCCAAACAATAGACAAGGCAGGAAACTCAGACAAAGGGAAAATCCCAAGAAACAGGCAAGAGAGCAAAAAACCAAGAGACAAATCCAGGGAGAATGCTCAGAAATGCAGTATAACAACTAACAAGACTTCGCAAAGAATGACAAACTAAACCAGGCTTATATAAAATGAGCAGACAGTGTAAATGAGCCACAGGTGCAGACAATGAGTATTGATGGGTCCATGCAAAGGATTATGGGAAATGGAGTCCGGAGGTAAATGGTAAGAGTCTGGAATGGAGTGCCCTGTAGTGAAGCTCACGGACTCTCCAGCTAGAGATCGTGACAGAGCCCCCCCACCAAGGAGCGGCTTCCATACACTCCAAACAGAAGAGACTAAAGTCCAGGAGGGAGGTGGAGCGGAGGCGGAACAGGTGGAGGGATGGAGGGCCAGGACCATGTAGAAGAGGAGGGAAGAGGACAGAGGCCTAGCCGCCAGAGCTGGGAGCAAGGGCGGAGCTGGCAGAGCAGGGAGCCAGGGCGGACTGGTATGACAGAGAATACACTGATGGTCTCCATGACCTCATCAGAACAGAGAAAGAGTTCATAAGTGGACACTCCTGACACCTCTGGAGGATTTGCAGTGGATGCCGCCACCTCTGGAGTTTCTGCAGCAGTAGCATCAGGAGCTTCAACAAACACAGAGACATCGCTTGCGGTCGTAACAGAGGCATCAGGAAACAGGAAGAGTTCAGAAACATTCTCCTTAACAGGACAGGTATGGAGTTCAGCAACGGTCCCTTCGACCGTGACATCACAGGCTGAGAGTGCATTGCTGAACCTCTGGAGAAACTGCAGCGGGCGCCATCGCCTCTGGGGACACAGCAGGGAGCGCCACTACCTCGGGAGGTTCTGCACCATCAGCCGCCACCTCTGGAGATATCATAGTGGACAGGGGAATCAGTTCAGGAACAGGAGGGCACTCTGGAGAAGCAGACACTGAAGGGCGCACTGGAGGAGTGGACACTGGAGGGCATT